ACCGCTCAAGGCGACCGCGGCCACGCTAGCCCCTCCGCAGCCGCACGTGATTGCTCGCGGACCGCACAAGAGGGTTCAGAGACCTGTCAAAATGCCTGAACCTGCAACATCTGTTCTTCTAAAGCCTAAAACATCCCGGAACCTATTAGAAACTCACACGAGCCCTCGAAATTCTAAACCAAGCATGCACACTACCTCAAAAACACCCTACGAACATATTCATGTGATCACATCACCAATATAACATCATGAACATCGAATTGAGCCTCAAGATCCATGAAATTTCTCAGATTTCCTTTTAAACATCAAATTTCCCAATTTGGGTCAGGATCACGTTAAACGACGTCCGTTTTTTACCAAACTTTACAGGAGTGATTCAAAACATATATAAGACTCGTACCGGGTGCCGGAACCAAAATACGGGCCCGATACCATTGCTTTATAATCAGATTTCATTTCCATTTTCTTTAAACATTTTCAGAGAACAATTTCACTTAAAAATTCATAACTCGGGTTGGGGACCTCGGAAATCGATTCCGGGCATACGCCCGAGTCCCATATTTTCCTACGGACCCTCCAGAATCGTCAAATCACGGGTCCGGGTCCGTTTATCTAAAATGTTGACCGAAGTCAAATTTATTCATTTCGAGGTCAAAACTTAGCAATTTTCACAAGATTTCACATTTAAGCTTTCCGGCTACGCGCTCGGATTGCGCACACAAATCGAGGCGACTCTAAATGAGGTTTTCATGGTCTCGAAAACACTCATTTCAATTAGAAACAGGTGATGACCCATAAACAATTGAGCTGGAAATTTTAAGCCACAACATTTCTCTTGGAAAAGTTAAAAACATTATTTACTTACGTACAATTCCAAAATTGCCGACAACCTTAGCTTCCACATTGACGAAGACTTAGGGGTCCATTGCAACTTCTTGCATTTACTCCAAAACCTAAAGTTCTCAGCATCCTTCCCAAACTCGTCTCTATAAATAGCTAGCATTCTAAGTCTGTCTTTGCAGTACAACACTAAACCTAATTAGAAAACCTTAGTACCTATTTTCCTTCAAAATGAAAATGGGCATTTTCAAATCCATGTTAATTTTCCCTTTTTTTCTCATTGCTAATTTCCTCCTCTTCACTCACTCTGATGCAACCACATTTGATGTTCGAAACAATTGTCCTTACACAGTTTGGGCTGCCTCTGTGCCAGTGGGTGGTGGTCGCCAGCTCGACTCTGGTCAAACCTGGACAATCGACGTGCCAGCTGGCACGCAAGGAGCCCGTATTTGGGCCCGAACTGGTTGCAATTTCGATGGTTCGGGCCACGGTAAGTGTGAGACTGGAGATTGCAATGGTCTTCTCCAGTGTCAAGCTTATGTGATACCCCCAAACACTTTAGCTGAATATGGCTTAAAACAATTTAATGATCTTGATTTTTTCGACATCTCTCTCGTCGATGGATTCAACGTACCGATGGACTTTAGCCCCACCTTCAATGGGGTCACCCGTGGTATTAGGTGCACTGTTGATATTAATGGACAATGTTCGAACCAATTACGAGCTCCTGGTGGGTATAATAATCCTTGTACCATTTTCAAGACTGATAATTATTGTTGTAATTATGGAAATTGTGGCCCAACTGAATTTTCGAAGTTTTTTAAGGATAGGTGTCCTGATGCCTATAGTTACCCTAAGGATGATCAAACTAGCACTTTTGCTTGTCCTACAGGAACCAACTATAGAGTGGTTTTCTGCCCATAAATGCCACAAAGCATATACTCCTATATATTTTGCTTTAAGTGGCCAGTATGAAAATTTTCGTACTAAAGTGTACTAAATAAGAAGCGATCTTGTTAAACTTGTTTAACCAAAAATCTGAGTCTTTGGTCAAAGCTAAAAAGAAATTCGGGTTACTGATAA